GTCATACACCAGTTTTTTACTAATCAGCAAAGTTGATTTCCAATGTTGCTGATGTGGTAATATAAAAATCTGATGCGCGAGCCAACTGCCATCTATTATTTTAAAAAAGGATCTAAACGTATAATGAAATAAATTTTACTCTTGATCATTACTTCTCATGTACACTCCTATGCACGAGTACACATAAAATTTCGTACTGGGATTTCCCCTAATCATTCATATCTATGGATTCCCTTGTTTTACATTCTCCTCCTTTTCTCTCTTTTATAGCTGTTTTAATTTTCCATTTCCTTTCATCATCTATCCACTCTTTCTTATACCAAGAACATCATAATCACTTTGGTTGTATTACAACCTCTACACTAATGTACGTAAAACCAAGGTAAACTTTACTACACTTGTGTTCATTTCAATACACTCATATCCAAGGCTTGTATCCATTTTCAAACCAAAAAAAAAAACTCATACCGTTTGATTCAATTACACCTTTTTCTGGAATAATTTAAATTCAAGATATTTGCTCCCAACACCATCAGTAAATAAGAAATTAAATAAAATAGGTACAACCCATTCTAGAGCAATTTCAAACATCATTCTTGAAGTTAATCCATAAATCTTTTGAATGAAAACTCTTTCAATCCAAAAACACACCAAGACGATCATAAAAATATGGCAAATAATTATCTTTGGTGAGAATAACTAAAATCACATAAGGTAAGAAGAATGGATAAAAACTTAGGCAACTTACACAAGGCAAGAATTACCAAAATTATTAGGTTAAAATTACTAAAATTGTTTGACGCAATAAATTATAAGGAGTATTTTAACATTGATTTTTACAATGTGAGAACTCCAAAATTAGCTTTAATTATGGAGAAAAATACGAAGCATGTTTTTAATATGGCAAAGAGTTGATTGCCAACTCATACTCCGTAGATTACATGGCATGTTTCAAAAAATTGTCAAATGTACTGTTACTCGTCAAATTCTAATGAAGTGAGTCTGAAATATTGTAATAAAATAATTTATTATTTACTATATTACTCATTCTAATTTATTTAATCTTCACACAAATGAAGTTGATTATTATTGTATTCTTGTGACCGTGCTCTATTGATAATGAACATGAACAATGAGAAAAAAGAATTGGAAAAGTGGAAAATAACAAATGAAAGGGGTGACTCAGCTAGTAGACACCATTAATTCCAAGAATGATTTTGCCTAGGGACTGCTACCTGGCAAAGATGATTGCCGTCATAGCGAGGTAAGGGCTTCACCATTCCATGGACTCATTCGACCCTTTTTCTGCTTCTCCACCCATTGGATCATGGAGGACGACCTTTCTTACCCTGAGGAATGAAACCCTAACCCCACAGCCACCCACCAAGGTCGCTCACCTGCTTCAAAATCTCATTTTATCCCAATCGAATGCCCTGATCGATGTGTCCACCGACTTGGCCCCTCACAAGGTGTTCATTTCTATTCCTTTTGCGGGCACTTATGCTTCGCACCTGTTTATATGGTTGCTCGGACAGTGAGTCTTTTGGAACTAAGTGTCTTCTGTATCTGGTTTTTAAGGTTAAGTCGGACATGCTGTTCTTGATGGAATTGGTTCAAGGAATCACCGGTTGTGATGCATTTAATGTTGTAGAAACCTGTACGCAGTTGTCCCATTTGGTTAGCAACATTTTCTACAAGATGCCCCTTTTAAAATCTGATGTTTTCCATCACAGTGGAAACAGTACCATATTCTTAGTGTATTACAAATGTACACATACTTTCTTGCAAATTAGTTTCTCAAGGCAGTTTCCTTTTTTGCTGTATCCTTTCTGCTTGTAATTAATGTATCACAATTTTTTTTGAAGGAAATGTTTCACAATTTTTCATGTGTGTGCTACAAGATTCTATGTGCCCATTTCAATTTTATTTTCTTTAAACATTCTCTACCGATTTTTACATTTATTTTACTGGGGAATGTTAGTAATGCTAGTTTTTCTATGCTGCAGGTTTATTCTGTCAGCAACTTCATTCCTATCAAAATAAATTATAGTTCATGGCCTCTTGTGCTCAGCTTCTTAAATAGCATGATAGAAATTTTTTTCAATAAAACTAAGACAAAGATGGCTTTTATTAGCACTGCTGATATTGTTACAGCCGCAAAACAGTGTCTAGAGATCAAAAAGTATGTTCTCTTTCCTCTGTTTTTTCCTGCTGGCACTTCATGAGCAATAATAATTCATTCTGTGCAGCTGTTCATGCTTCTTTTAGTTTCTCTTTGCTTGAACCTGATCATTGTTTTCTTTTTGTAAATCTTATATCTCGATCGCTTTTCTTCAGCTTCCAGTTTAACTACAAAGTGACATTCTTATGTTAGTTAATTGTGTATTTTGTGAGGCTCATGTCTTCCCATTTTGTCCTATA